AAAAAAATCACTAAAGCAAAGAAAGGAGAGACAGCACAAAGCTGTATGCCAATATATTCTTCCTTCTCTCTTGTTTTTCCCCTCCCCCGAAAGTTGTGGGCAGATTAATTTGAAGTGGGGCGGGGGCAGCGTGAGGTTTTTAGATTGATTTAAGCTACAAGTTTATAAAAAGATGCAAGCAGGTGAGGCTTGCGAAACTTGAGAGAAGAGAAAAGGGAGTTCCTGTTCTCCTCCCCCTTCTCAGGGGAGCTGTAGAATGTCAGAGGCTTGCTTTCTGCTCCTAAGGTTTAGAAGCCAAATAAAGAAAACAAAGCTGTCGAGTCACCGGAGTTTTGGTTTCTTATTAATAGAATAAAGGTATGAAACGGCCTCGTGGACCACAGCAGCACCATCCAAGTCCCCCTGGGGTTTCTGGAAGGTCAGAGGCATTCGGCACTTTCTTTCCTGGTTCCCCACCTCGGCCACATTGCCCGCCTGGCTTTGGCCTCCCGCTAGCATTCCCTTCTTTTGGCTCAGGCCATGTACGTTTTTTTTTTGTTTTGTTTTTTTAAGCTTTCTAAACTCTAAGAACATAGGGGGCAAATCCGAGCTCTGGTCTCCCTGGGGGTGGCCATGGGGTTTCATTCCCCCGTGAACCTCTGGGGACTCTGGGTCTGGTGAGTTGCAGTGACCTTCTCAGGTTGGGTCAGGACAGATGGGCATGCTCATCCCCAAATCGCGCTTTGTTGGATCTGGCAGAGCTCCAGCCATTTCCAAACCTACTCCTGCTGGGCCAGTTTGAGATAAGAATGGGCTTCACCTGAGCAGTTTTGTGTGTGTGTGGGGGGGTGGGGGTGGGGGTGGGGGTGGGGGATGGGACTCCCTTCCTCTGGTGGGCTGATAGAAACCATTTCAGAACATGTGTGACAGTGGTCAGTACATGTCAGGGGAAATGTGATTTAGGTGTGTTCATGATCCCAGGGTATTTTTTTCATGGTGTTTTTCCAAACAGCACCAGCAAGAACTAAGAGTTCACTTGATCCTCCCGGTATTTTAATGTTGTACTCAAGGAGAGATTTTTTTTTTAAGAGGCGTGCCTTCCACCCCTCCCCCCCTTTCCTCCCCCAAGAAGCTAGGTTATGCAAACCCTTGTGGAGCCAAGAGTTGCTGAGGCCAAAAGCCTTCTGCTAATTTTTCATCGTGTTCGTGAGAAGTGTGAGCACATACAGTGTTTTTTAGGTAAGGCTGTGGAATGCAAATTGAGTGTTCAAGAATACTGGAAGTATTTCTGAAGCAGGAGGTAGAGTGGAAATACTATTCATTATAAATGTCACCTTTCCAAATCTAAAGCTGAATTTAACTAATGATACTACAAAAACTTTGGTGCTGATAATACTGAATTCATTTTCCAAGCATGGTCATTGTTGTGTATGAAATACAACATAAATTTTTGTTTGAAAAACAAAAGCAAAAAAGAACACAAAACACCACACAAACTAGTGGGTACTAGAGACCATTTGCCCTTTCATTGAAATCACTTAAATATGGTTTTATAGTTTCAGTAACTTTTGAATTTTCATTTCTCGGTGTTAGAAGTACATTCTGCCCTGGCTGGTGTGGCTGAGTTGGTAGACGCGATGTACCGTACACAGAACGGTCATGGGTTCCATTCCTGGTCAGGGCGCATGCCTAGGTTGTGGGTTTGATCCCCTGGCCCTGGTTGGGGCAGCAGGTGGGAGGCAACCAATCTCACATCGATGTTTCTCTCTCTCTGGGTCCATCCCTCCCTCACTCCTTCCCTTCCCCTCTCTCTAGATATCAATAAAAAATGTCCTCAGGTGAGATTAAACAAACAAAACAAAAATTTAAAAAAGAATTGCCTGTGATTCTGAACGTGGAAGGGATTTTTTTTTCCTTTTTCAGCTGTGAGGACACTCATTGAAGAGAAATTGCTTTCTTACTAAATGAAATTTGCTGTTCTTAATTGGATCAGGACCTCTTCCTGCTGCCTTGTGGTATTCCTACCCATTCCAGATAACGACTGTGTGAAATTAGGGACTCCATGAGCTAAATTTAGGCTCGCAGTGAGGGGCAAGGGATGCTATGATTCCATTATGTATTGTCAGTCCCCTGAGCCCGGCTTGGTTAGCTACCCCATGTTTGAATGTTTAAGGGATTTTTTAAAATACAATTTCTCTGCAGTTTCAGTAGGCTCTGCTGGCTCACACTGTAGACCTGCGTCCCACGCAGTTTGTGCAGTAGCCAGGGAGTTATTTCAGGAACAAACCTCATGTTTCCTCTAATTTTTAATAAGCACTTAGGCCTGCCCGACTCTTGAGATATATCACAGAGTCCCTCACATGCCACCCACTACAGCACTAAAGAAGTACTAAAATTAGACTTCATGCTTTGCTTTTTAAAAATTAGTGATTCTTCTTCCTTTGTTGAAACTTAGAGTCATCCATGTTTGTTAAATAACCTCTTCTGCACCCATAATTCTAGGCTAGGATTCGAGAACCTTCAAAGTAAAGCAAGCAAGAAAACAAACAAACAAAACGTAATAAAAAATATAAACATAATTTCTCTCTTAGAGCTTTTGAGGTTCCCAATTACTCAATGGGGTATGTGTTTGACTTAAGGACCTGTTCTCTTGCAGTTCATAATATATACTATTGTAGGTTTTCTCTGCTTTAATCTTTCCCTTCTTCCTCTTGACCCTCCCTTCTGGGTTACCCAGTTTTGGGAGGGAAAAACCTCCTTGCTTCTCAGCCTGGAGCAGTCTTTTTACCCTGCATTGTGTTTTTCAATAGTTTCTTCATCTTCACTTGAGTTACTTAAGCCCCATAGGAGGAATGGATTGGCTGAATTCTGCTGACTTGTTGCTCCCCAGCTCTGCTGATAGGGATATTTGTAGGGTGGGGATGACGGGGGATTACTAAGCAGTTGCTGCTGAGTGATAAACTGAATGGAGACCACCACAGCAGGATGCATGAAAGAGCTGCTGAGGCATTGCCCCATGCTCTGGACCCGCTGCCTACGGAGGGGCTGCTGGGAAATGGGGAAATCTAGAGCTCCCTCTTGAACAGTTCAGTGCAGCATGAGTCAGAAGCACAGGTCCAGAGCTTGGGGTTGTCCAGATTTGGTGTAGTAGTGAGGCAAGAGAGGGGAGTGTTACACATTTTTTTTGGTGATTGACTTACTGGAAATTCACCATCATGGAAACAGATTTAGGAAAAGAATTCTAAATAGGTTCTGGGAAGGCTCCCATTCATAAAATTGGCAAACACACGGCTTCCAGGAATGCTAGCCAGATTGATATAGCTAGATTCTCTTTCCCTGTTCCTGTGTCCTGATGATGATGGAGACTCCCGACCTGGGGCAGGGACCACCTCCACATGATCCCCCACCTCCGGCACTCTGGGCTTCTTACAGTGGCCAGGAAGGAGGAATTTCTCTTTCTCATCTGTGCATATTCTTTCTCTCCCCTCCTTATTTTTAGATGTAATTAGTAAGGTTACTGACAGTTATTATATAAGAAACTTGACATGTAAACCGGGTGTTTAGAAAACGGTATGCAGGATCTGTTTGCTCCTTCCTAGACCCGAATGACTGCAAGTACAAGTTATTTTCTTATTCCTTGTCCTCCACCTTCCTTTTATCCTGTTGTTATTCCAGTTAATAAGTAAATGACCCTTTTGAAATGGAAACAGGTTCTGGAATGTTCTTGAAAGACATAACCTTTTATAGTGGAGATTTCCTTTTAAGACAGGGCAGTTTTACATACAAGAGGAATATATAATTCTCCTACATACTAACTTTGCTACTTATTCTAGGACCAAAATACATTAATTTCTATTCACCTGTATGCTCTCAGCTATGCCTAGAATAGGTGCATGTGTGTGTATATATCACAACTATAGTTTGCAGATTTATGTTTTGAATTCAGCTATTTCTTTTTACTTGAATGATGTTCTGGGTGTTCAGTGTTTTAGTTAGGAGGCAGCATAAATAGTTCAAGATTACAGGCTGTTCATAGTGCTCTGCATAATGACCTTACACACAGTCTGTAAAATATTATAATTTTTGTGCATCTTGCTCTGGACCTCAACAGGATTGAGATGTTTCTACAAAGACACTCTGGTGTCTCAGCTTTCCTAAGTTCTGTGTGCCAGATTTTGTTTTCTAAACCTTTCTCCCATCCTCCTTAAAAAACAACAACACAGCAACAACAACAAAAAGACCTAGTTCATTAAAATCTGACTCACAAATTTAGAAATGCTTTAAAATAAGTATCTGGGAAGCAAGCCCATGCACACTCACCATATGTGGTTTCTGTTAATTTCTATGCCTCTGGCATAGAAATCCCAGTTTCTTCTTTTTGTCCCATTTGTGCTTGACTGTGGACAATGGATTGTCCATCTCAAGTTTAAAATGTAGCCACGTTTCAGCACCAAAGCATTGGGTAGCTGGTCTTTTCCTTAAAGACCCATCAGTATCTGTATCAGCCCTCTGAGCAGGATTGAGTTGCTGTGTGTTCCCAGCACCACTTACCCCTAGATATTCCTCTCAAATCTTCTGAGGGGAAATCCATTCCCTCCCTTCTTCTTTCCCTTCCTCCCTCCTCCCTCACCCAGGCTGCCCCACAACCCAAGGGAACCCCCACCCTGATCCAGGACACCCTTCAAGGCAAATCAGCTGGCCCCAACCAGTGCACCAGGCTTCTATATAATAAAAGAGTAATATGCAAATTGACTGTCACAACACACAAGATGGCCGCCCCCATGTGGTCAAAGATGCCTGCCCCATGTGGACACAAGATGGCTGCCACAAGATGACCAGGGGAGGACAGTTGGGGGGGACCAGGCCTGCAAGGGAGGGCAGTTAGGGACAATCAAGCCTGCAGGGAAGGGCAGTTAGGGGTGACCAGGCCAGCGGAGTAGGGAAGTTGGGGGTGACCAGACCTGCAGGGGAGGGCAGTTAGGGGCAATCATGCAGGCAGGGGAGCAGTTAGATATCAATCAGGCTGGCAGGGGAGTGGTTAGGGGGTGATCAGGCTGGCAGGCAGAAGCGGTTAGGGGCAATAGGAAAGCAGGCAGGCGAGCAGTTGGGAGCCAGCAGTCCTGAGAGGGATTGTTAGAGGGATGTACGACTGCATGTTTAGGCCCGATTGTACCGGGATCGGGCCTAAACAGGCAGTTGGACATCCCTCAAGAGGTCCCAGATTGGAGAGGCTGGGCTGAGGGTCCCTCCTCCTCTATCCCCGGTGCATGAATTTCATGCACCGGGCCTCTACTCTAGAAATAATTACAGAGTCACATGCAGCTGAAAGACATAATACAAGATCCCATGTACTATTGCCTAGCTTCCCCCGGTGATGACATCTTGCAAAATTGTAGTGTATAGAACCAAGGTCCTGACATTGAGAGTCAAGATACAGAACATTTCCATCACCACAAGGATTCCTCCTGTTGCCTTTCTCTCACTTCCACCCTAGATCCTGGCAACCACTAATCTAATCTGCTCTCCAGTTTTATAATTTATTTATTGCAAGAATGTTATACAACTGGAATCATACAGTATGTGACCTTTTGGCATTGAGGGTTTTCATTCAGCCTAATTCCCTAGAGTAGGGGTGTCGAACTCAATCAGAGAAGGGGCCAAAATCTAAAATCCAGCCTAAATCGCGGGCCGAATGGTTTACTGAACAGTCATAAACTGTCATTGTGATGGAAACGCAGCGGAGTGCAGTGATGACAGCGCGGTGCGGGCCACATTGCAAGGCCTGGAGGGACGGATTTGGCCCGCAGGCCTTGTGTTTGACACATGTGCCCTAGAGATTTACCCAAGTTGTTACCCATATGAATAGTTTGTTCCTATTCATTGCACGGATACTTTTCCACTGTATGGATATATCACACTTTATCCCTTTATCAGTTGATGAATATTTGGGTTGTTTCCACTTTTTCGCTATTTTGAAGAAAGCTGCGATGCACTTTTGTGTGAACACAGGTTTCATTTCTCTGGGATAAATGCCCAGTGATATCATTTGAATGATGGCATAATATTTCATTGTATAACATTGTTTTTATTGCATGAAGTAAATGTCATTTATTTAGCTTATTATCTCTAGATGGATTGTTACACCCTCTGCCCACTCCCACCCCCAGTTTTTCTGCAGTTATAAATATCACTGATGACACTTTTATAGTTAAGTGTTGTATGTACATCTTTTTTTTTTTTTTTTTTGCGATTTTTAAACTTTATTTTTGCTGTCGCCACTATTACAGATGTCCCTATTGTTCTCCCCTTTGTCCACCTCTACCTAGCCCCTGTTCATGGGCATCTTTTTTTTTTTTTTTAGAAATGAAGTGGATGCCTCAGAGTATGCAGAATTCTAAAGCTTTGCTTCTTTGCTTTGTTTCTCTTTTTCCTTTCAGGAAAAAAACCAAAAACCTTTTCAACTCCTGTCAGCAGTGAATGGAAGTGCTCATTTCTCATACCCTTGCCAACACAGAGCAGTTACTTTCAGAGATCTGCAGTTGTGCCATGCCCCTGTGGGCAGCGCACACTCCCCACTTGACTGTGGGTTTACTAGTCCCACTTCACCCAGGAAAGTCTTTCAGAATGGTAGATGCCGCCAGGATCTTGTGTTTGCATGAAGTTTGGGACTCTGCTGAGGTGGTTTTGCAGAGCCTCAGAGGATTTGTTACATGATGGATATAAATAATTATAAGAAATCACTCCAGGTCCTCACTCCTGTTCTTGTGTGACGTCTCCTATTGTGCTGTGTCTAGAAGAAGCCGGCAAGGGTGGGCTGTCATTACTGGTAGTCTTAAAGACAGAAAAACCTTCACTTTTTATAAAGCCTGGTTAAAATAACACGAAATAGGTGAGAGGGTGCGTATGTGTCTTATACAGGATAGCAGCTCATTTGAGAGGTGCGAGGTGAGTCTGGTCTTTTAATGAGCTGTTAAGAGTAGGCAGAGCTGATGAGATGCGTTTTTCCCTTCTCCTTACACTAACTGGTCTAGTGTTTCTCTTGGTGTGACCAGGCAGTGATTTTGAAGCAGTAAGATTGGGTTCGATTTTTCTTATTGATTTTTGAAGCAATAACAGAGGGTTACGAATATATACCTACCAAAAATTTGGGACATGAATTTATTTGTATTTTCTGAGATAAATGAAATCCTTGCTAGAATTCTACTTTTTGGTAGAGGGTAGCAAACACATTCCTCCAAGTGCAAGACAGTTTTTTTTTTTCTCCTTTTGTGTTTCAAATTCTGTAGTTGTTTTCTCTTTTCTCAGTGCTGTGATATTTACGATGAATCAGGCTGATTTCAGTAAAAATTGTTTTACTCTTAGAATGGCAGATCACTCTTGGAGAAGGCGGGATGATTTCAGAAGAGACCATGCTCACTAACTTGTTTGGTGTTACATTAGCGTCGCCTGAAAAGAAAGATGTCCGGAGTGTTTGTGACGCTGACTACAGAGGGTGACGTATGCGACTCTGAAAGAATATGGTGTTGAGGTGACAGAATGTGCAGCAGTATCACCCCATTCGATAGCGATCGAAATGGTGGTGTCGGATTCCAATCAGAGTAGCTCTAGGAGACAGGTCAGCATCCTGCAAAATTAGACGATGCAGCTAGTCTGCAGGAGAGAAACGCTTACATTGTCAACAAACAAGTTTCATTGCATAGGTATTTCCAGATATTTCTTGAAAAATCTAGAATGATGGTGAGTGTGATAAATCCTCAAGAGAAACTGAAAGACAACTGTATATTTCTTGGTAAGAGTAAATGAGGTGAACATTTAAAAATTCCTTTCTCCTCTTCAGGGGCAGGTTAACTCTTCGTGGATTATGATGCATGACGCCTCTGTTTGCTATGGAAGAGCTTTCTGAGGCAGTTTGTGTGCTTTTTGGGTTTGGGTACCATTCCACAGAGGCATGCCTTTGCTTGGAGTGAGTGAGTAGTTCTATTCTAAACCTGTATTGCAGTGCTGAGGAGGCTGCATATGATTTATTAGTGCATGATACCATGTTTGACATCAACCTATTTGTGAACAAGAAATATTCAGTTCACACTCACTGTTCATTATCGTGTTTGAACAACAAATTATTGTTACAGTTTAGGATCTCTGCTAGAATTGAACAGCGTGTGAATTCAACCAAAAAAATAAATACACGTGCACACATGTGCGTATGCACACACACACACACACACACACTCCCCATCCCCCAACCCCCTGGCTGCTTCAGGTTAAGTTTTTATTGTTGCGTTTTTGTGTGTCTGGTTTGGACCCTTATTTGGTGTCTGGAGAACTGCCTCAGCTCTGGTTCATCCCTATGGAGATGCCCTCCTGGGCCACATCTGAATGTCACGGCTGGGCGACTGGGCGGTGAATTTGAGACTTCTCCCATTTGTTGTGACGTGGCCCACCTGTGGATTTATAATGGCTCAATGAGGAGAGAGAAAGGGGCATTTAAAGCCAATGCTTCTCTTTGGAAGATTTTTTTGTTTTTCCTTACCGTGCCACAGGGACATGGCCTTTTAGCTTTATAATTTTTATTTTTTATTTTAAAAATATCACGTAGGCCAAAAATAAACTTTTTAAAATTGAGCTGAGTGAAGTGTATAGCCATACTCTTTTATTGTGGGGATCCTCCTGTTTAACAGCTGCTAATTTTTGAGCACTCATTGTGCATCAGACATTGTGCTAGGTCCCTTGCATATGATGTTTCTCATTTCTCGGAAAAGGAAACGGGCTTAGACCAATTAAAACCTTACCCAAATGCGCACACGTGGTAAATACATGGTGGGATTTTATTTTATTTTATTTTTTAATTATTATTATTTTAAAATATATTTTATTGATTTTGTACAGAGAGGAAGGGAGAGAGAGAGTTAGAAACATCGATGAGAGTCATCGATCAGCTGCCTCTTGCACACCCCCCACTGGGTATGTGCCCGCATACATGGTGGGATTTTAGATCAGATTACCTTAATATCACAAATGATTCAGGGATGATTGGAATTACCTTAGAAAGAGAAGAGGGATAGAGAGTTAGAAACATCGATGAAGAGAGATACATCGACCAGCTGCCTCCTGCACACTCCCCACAATGGATATTGGGGTGCTTCCTGTTTTGATAATCTGCTTAGATAAAATGAGGGACCTGGCCAGGTCATGGGAGGCGGCCAGGATGGAAATACAACAGGAGGATGAGGTAGGACAGCGAATGAAAAGAAAACTAGGTTGAAGGGAAAAGTCATAGATGCAAATATTTGGTAAGATGTGGCACTTTCTTTTACATCACTCTGAGGACCAGAAAAAGGTTTCATCTTGTAATGTGAGTATGTGATCCTTGGTAGTAGTTAATTACTCTGCAAATTGTCATGGGTGAAATGTTTTGGATATTTTAATGTTAAGAATTGCAAGTAGCCGAAACCGGTTTGGCTCAGTGGATAGAGCGTTGGTCTGCGGACTGAAAGGTCCCAGGTTCGATTCCAGTCAGGGGCATGTACATTGGTTGCGGGCACATCCCTGGTGGGGAGTGTGCAGGAGGCAGCTGGTCGATGTATCTCTCTTCATCGATGTTTCTAACTCTCTATCCCTCTTTCTTCCTCTCTGTGAAAAATCAATAAAATATATTTAAAAACAAAACAGAAAATAATTTTTTAAAAAGAAAAGAATTGCAGGTAAATTAAGACAGTTAATGCCACAAAGCAGCGTTGTTCTGAAACAGAACAATTATACATTTAAAAGAGGTGGGGCCAGGACAGAACACAACCCCCTGAGGTACTAAGGGTTTGAAGGTGAGTTCTATGTGGTTTGATAGGAGTCTGATCAGAGCCTCTTGCTTCGATGCCAATTATGTTCATCTCAGTTAATGAATAATTCCTGCTCTTGCCTAGAAACCCCAGCACTCTGGAGATGAGGAATTCTTTCTGAGACGAACTCCATAGTGTATCACCCCTCTTGTCCCCCACTGCAGACCGTACCCTGGCTCCTTTTCCCGAGGGCAGTTCCTGGGCGCATCTGCCCAATAGGGCGTTTTCTCTGCATGGCAGTCAGGCACTGCACTGTGACATTCCTCGCCCTCTCCCTGAACTCCCTGGGTTATTGACCCACAGCAGTGGTGCCACTGGTGGAACAGAAACCATAAGGAGGGGAGGAAAATACGTCTTCTCAGACGTGACGTGTCTGTACAGACCTGCCACTGTGTGATGGAGACCCATTCACAGCTCGCTTCTCCCCAGGAGGCAGGCTCGTGGACAGCCTCGGAGCCAGCAGACCTTTCCCAGTGCTTTTCCCAGCCTGTACTCCTCTTACCGAGCACCCCGGGACACCAGCCTGCGTGTTTTGAATGGCTAAAATGTGTATTTTGGTCACCTTGAGCACATGCTAGTTTCACAGCTGTTTTAAGAGCTGGCTCTTTGGCCACCGATGTGTGTGGTTACATTTTTGTTGCCTGCGGTGACAGCAGGAGTAGGGGTAATGTCCCATAAAGGTAGCTCAACAAGAGTACATGGAAGAAGGCAGTGCTAGTTCGACCGGCCAAGTGCCCATGTTCATTTGTTTGTTTTGTTATTTGTAAAAATCGAAAGAACCACTGGGATAGTAGAATATTTAGGAGCAAGGTATAGTCATGAGTTCTCAGACTGATGGAATTCAGAACTCTTTTTACTTATTAACTTACCTGTTTTGTCCTTCATACCCAAAGGGACATACTTAGGAGATAAAAGTTTGGTGGTGGCTGTGGTTTTTTTTTTATTTTTTTTTTATCACTAATTGAAATATTATAGAACAATATTTTCTACACTCTCTTCTTTAGAAACCTGCTTCACTAGTACTGTGTTTATAGTTCCAGTAAGGCTGCGTGTTCTTAAAATTGGGATTGGAAAATGCATTCATTTCTAACCCTGTTTGTCTTGCCTATTCAGATGCTCAGATGATGGTGGATAAATTCTGTGCAGTCCCCCAGGCCCAGGGGAGCCCCCTATTCTTACTGTTCTGCTATCCTGTCTCACAGTAAGATATAAGCAGCCGTTAGGGGCTCACAGATTAAATTCTTTGGACGTTTTACCTCAAATGCTAAGGAAGAAATCTGTTCATTGGCTCAGTAAATGTCTAGTGACACCTACTATGTGCCAGGCGCTGCAGTAAATATTCTCTAACGGTGGATGATCCTGGAAGGTGAATTGAGGTCATTGTCAGTTCCTCGTTTTCAGCCTAGCAGTGTTTTGAGTTGATGGCAGGTCTGCCATTTTCCAAGGACCTTGGGATCACAGGAGGTCAGAGTTGAAAGCTGTGTAGAAATCCTAGTCCAGTTCCTTCATTCTGTTCACCAGGAATGATGCAGAGCTTCATTCGCATCCCCCCAGTCGTCCTGGAGATCACCTGAGGTTTCTCTCTTTTATACCGAAATGTCTGTGTTGTGCTCAGCATCGTCTTTATGATGCTTGAGTTGGGTGAAATCTCTAGTTCAGCGCCGTGGGAAACTGAAAGGTGGACAAATTGGCACTCCTTCCCAAAGAAGGTTGGGAATTGGCTATCACAGACCTGTTTCCTGGTATTACAAGTCGTTCTGCCAACGAGGCTTATTCTAACGGGATTCTGTTTTACCCGCACCGGGGAACGGAACGTGGACTAGACTAGAGAAATAATCTAAACTAAGTGTGAGGGTTCTTAAAGAACTTCTCAGAACTTGTTGGGTTAAAAAACACCACCACCCAAACCCAGCCCTCTTCTGATGCTACTGTAGTTTCCCTATCACAAACAAAATCCAGAAACAGAAA